CAGTCGAGAGTTATCGCCCTTTGATCAAAATTTAGTGGACCTCCGTGTCTGTCATGCTACTCAAGAACGGCTGAAGCTAGAAAGCTGAAATTTTCAGGGATGATAGAGGACATGTTGCCATGTTGCACCTGGGTCAGGATATTTTCCGGAAATGCCTAGTATGGAAGCTCGGTAGGGGTCAAAATTTAGAATACGAATCTTGAGTCATTTTTTGAGACATTTTGCATCATATCTTTAAAAGTATAATCATTTTGTTAAGACATAATGAACAACATTTGTGCAAAATTATAAGATCTTTAATATGATACCAAGGAAAAAGTGCTGACTCATCAAATTAGGGTCTGGAAGGGGCCAATAGTCTTCAATTTATAACCCTTTAGCAGTCAATATTTTGTAATACATTACTGAAGCAAAAATGTTCATCTCAACAATGTACAACTATATATTAAAATTTTAATGTCGTATGGTACATATTTAGGGACCACAAGGGGCCAGAATACTAAATCTTTGGCACTTTATATCTCGGAAATGAGAAATATTTTGATTAGTAATATTGAACAAAAAATGTTCGAAATCATGTTCTAAACACTATGTTGTCTTTCATTTTTCGCTAAACGTCCCCATTAGGGAGTTGAAGGGTTGGCCCCTAAATATTTCTTTTACGAATAACTCGAAAACGAAAAAGAATCTCTGAATAGTTATTGAACAAAAAGTGTTCAAAATCTTCAAAGCTTAAAGATGAAATCAAGAAAAAGGGGCTGGGCACTCAAATTAGGGGCCAAGAGGGGCCAAAAGTCTTCAATCGATAACTCTTTAGCAGTTAATATTTTGTAATACATTAGTGAAGAAAAGATGTTTATCTTAACCATTTACAACGATATATCAAGATTTTTATGTCGTATAGTACATAATTAGGGGCCACAGGGGGCCAGAATGCTTAATCTTTGACGCTTTATATCTCGAAGGTGAGAAATATTTTGATAAGTAATATTGAACAAAAGATGTTCAGAATCATGTTCTGAACAATGAGCATTCTTTCATTTTTCGCTAAACGACCCCATTAGGGAGTTGAAGGGTTGGCCCCTAAATATTTCTTTTACGAATAACTCGAAAACGAAAAAGAATCTCTGAATAGTTGTTGAACAAAAAGTGTTCAAAATCAAAGGAGCTTTAAGATGATATCAAGAAAAAGGAGCTGATCCCTAAAATTAGGGGCCAGGAGGGGCCAAAAGTCTTCAATCGATAACTCTTTAGCAGTTGATATTTTGCAATACATTTCTGAAGCAAAGATGTTTATCTCAACCATTTACAATTATATGTCATGCTTTTTATGTCGTATGGTACATAATTAAGGGCCACAAGGGGCTAGAATGCTAAATCTTTGACGCTTTGTATCTCGAAAGTGAGAAATATTTTGATAAGTAATATTGAACAAAAGATGTTCAGAATAATGTTCTGAACAATGTGCAACCTTTCATTTTTCACTAAACGACCCCATTAGGGGGTTGAAGATTTGGCCCCTAAACATTTCTTTTGCAAATAACTCGAGAACGAAAAAGAATCTCTGAATAGTTGTTGAACAAAAAGTGTTCAAAATCAAAGGAGCTTTAAGATGAAATCAAGAAAAAGGGGCTGATCCCTAAAATTAGGGGCCAGGAGGGGCCATAAGTCTTCAATCGATCTCTTTAGCAGTTGATATTTTGCAATACATTTCTGAAGCAAAGATGTTTATCTCAACCATTTACAACGACATTTCATGATTTTTATGTCGTATGGTACATAATTAAGGACCACAAGGGGCTAGAATGCTTAATCTTTGACGCTTTATATCTCGAAAGTGAGAAATATTTTGATAAGTAATATTGAACAAAAGATGTTCAGAATCATGTTCTGAACAATGTGCAACCTTTCATTTTTCGCTAAACGACCCCATTAGGGAGTTGAAGGGTTGGCCCCTAAATATTTCTTTTGCGAATAACTCGAGAACGAAAAAGAATCTCTCAATAGTTGTTGAACAAAAAGTGTTCAAAATCATAAGAGCTTAAAAAAGACGAGGAAAAAAAAATGGTAATCTCCGATATTAGGGGCCGTGAAGGGCCAAAAGTCGATTTATTAGAGTCTTTAATGTTCAATGTCTTTTTACAGATTATGGAAAAATCATTATTTTAGAATGAAAATCTCAATCAAAATCTTATCTCATCTCATCAAAAATCGGACTATCAGTTAATATATTGTTTTACATTTCTGAAGCAAAAATGTTTATTTCAACAATCTACAACTATATATTATGATTTTTAGGTTGTATGGTTCAAACGACATAAAAATCATAATACATGTTCATATGCTATTTGTCATACTATATGTTTTATGAATAGGGGTCACATGGGACCAGAATGGTAAATCTTAAACCATACATTTATATCTCGAAAGTTGAAAAGTTCTTCATTAGTAATGTTGTAGAAACGATATTTAAATTAATGGTCAAAACATTATGCGATCTTTCATTTTTTGATTAATTTCCCCATTAAGGAGTTGAAATATTTCTTATATAAATTTTTCGGAATCAAAAAGAAAGCATGGGAGTTTTAAAATGGTATGGAGATATCGCCGTTTTATCTATTTTGAAATGATTACTTTAATAGCTGCAGATATCAAAAACCAAAATATAGAGCACAAATTTGCTATTAAAATATATTATATATCGAAACGTGTTCACTGAACCACTTGTGGGAAATTGCACACAAAGCTGTCCTCGTACATGTATGTAGTTATATATTCGTTTGTAGAAAAAAATACATGCATTCAGAAAAATTTGTGACTTACATTATTTAAAACTCTTTCAGCTAATTTATTCAGCTAATGAAATTGATAAACCCTCTGTAATCTGAAGTGATAAATATCGATAAATCAATAAGAACATAACACATATAAAAACTTTATTTTTTACCTCTTCCGTTCGCCGGACATAGTCCGTTGCCCCCTGCTCACCACGGGGAGGTGGAAGAAGGATTTTGAGCAGGATATATATATTCTTTAATATTCTAACTCTATTTCTAACATGCACTAAAGATGTCATGAAAGTATGTATTCTACTATTTACATCAATATAATTGACATATCTGTAATCAAAATGCCACAGAAATTATAAATGCTAATCTTGTTCTTAATTCTCCATGCACTGTCATAATGAATTTTTTTTTTCATTCCAATAGCCTTCATTGTATAATTGTATACGGTTTTTCTCAAGCTTTAACGAATATTCAGTTCAAGGCTTAATCTAAGAAAGTCAAAATGATTAAGACCTTGTTTGTAGCATTAAGAGTTTTAAAATTCAAAACCCTAAAGAATAGCTCATAAAATTAAGTTTTTAAGTGTAAGGGATATCTCTGATTTCTACGTAATTTTTGAACAGTGAAATTCATTCTTGACTTTACTTAATTAATACAAATTTTCCATGCAATCCATGCTAACATCAAACTCTTGCCCTGAATAACACATCATCTCCACATAAACAATTCTAGTAAAACATGCAGAGATCTTTGAAATCATTGCTTTCCTTTATTGTTCACAACATGATCGAGTTATGAATGTTGGAAAACAATGGCAAAACATATAGTAGCTATTACGCTCGGACTCGAAATTCAAATAATTTGAATACCAAGTTTGCGAAAATTTATTGCAAGGGCCTGAATGGGATAAAACTAAAAGATTGATGATAATCAACTGAAATCATTCCAGTGCGTATATCGACAGGAAAAATACTAAAATATCAATGGATTATATACCACTGAAAACGTAAAGTGAGTCTCGGGGATATCAGGGAATTGAACTTTATTAATTTTACAATTTATGTTAGCTGCATATTCAGGAAGTATTTATATACACATTTTATTTCAAGTACCAGATCACATAACCATATATATCCACTTCACAACCGTCTATTTTTCTAATCGCGGCTTATTATCAGTACAAAAAAAGGGTAAATCAATCAGAACATTTCATCAATAGTGAAAACACAACTAATTACCAATACAATAAATCATAATTGATATATAGTAAAAGAACTACTTGTTCCACCGTTTCTCGCGGCTTATTATCTACAAAAAAAAAATATGCAAGTACATTATGTAAAAGATATATCATTGTTCAAGTATTTAATTATCCAGTATATTTTTAAAACATTGAGTCTTTAATTCCTTTTAAGCAATAAGGACTGCTATAGACGTTTTCTTACTGCAAGGAAAAAGTTAAAATAGATAATTTAAGCTTAGGGTCAAGCTTTAAAAAAAGAAACATTTTTTAGTTTAACATCTTTCCTAAATGGCATTGTAATGACTGGCTTATTTTCAAAACAGGCTTATATTTGAGTAATTTCAATGCAAGAAATTGGTGGCTTATTTTCAAAACCAGCTAATTATTAAATCCATCTATTTTGAAGGTTTAAATGTACTCTAAATCAAGAATTCCAGCCGGCACAGTACATTTGCATCATTATTATCAATTCTTGATTTACACAATACCATATTCTAGCATTTTCTTTTGATATGAAATTTCTTTTTCTTCTATTATACAAATAATTATGATTTAAAATTCATCTTGGGCAATAAAATCACACTTGAAAAGAAAATGAACAGAAATACATATACATGTATTCTTTAACTGCTATTGTGGTTTTCTTAAGGATCACTAAAACTATGTATTATATAAAATGTTTCTTATTTCACATATATATACGAGGATATTTACAATCTTAAACTATACAGGTGAATCAAGATTTTTATGACTTTTTTGATGATTGATGATTTTGTACAATAATTTCATGCTTTGTTCTAAACCTTTTCCAATGACTACAGCTAAGGACTAAAAAAACTACAAACATGATAAAATTTCATTATAAAACAGTCAATAAACCATTATCAGTGGACACAAACGTCTCTCGTTGGTGTGTGAACAAAGGCTAGTTTGTTACGTTCTGTCTGACTTCTAAACATTGTGTTCCTTTAAAAGTCTAAGAATTTTAGAAGTATAGCATCATGATAACTGTAATATGTGGATAATCGAAGAACCTCAATCCGTCTTAAATTGGAAACATAGATGTGATCCAGTATTGTTCCCCCTTCTGTTGTGCTAAAGGATACAAGTTGTCTGAAATTTTGATTTCTCATAAACCTTTGAATTGGGCCATTGACTTTTGCATCGTCATTGAAATCACCCATGATGATACTTTTGTGGTCATTTGTTTTCAAGTAGTCCAGAACATTCTGAAGATTGTGCAGGAATGAAGTCATTTTTTCCTTGCATGGGCGATATACACACAGCAACAAAATATCTTCCTCGATTATTTTCACTGCTATTCCTTCAATATTCATATGGGTCATTAAAACAGTATTGTAATCCTTCCCATGTTTTAAGTACAGCCCAACACCTCCACCCTTTGACATGCATAAACTTTGATTTGACACAATGCTTTCCTCATACGCTTCCCTTCTAGGTAGATGATGAAACCGAAACCCTTCCAGTGCATATTTTTCTGTGTTTTCCCTAGATCTTAACCATGTCTCCGTTAAGAATATGATTTCAGCCTTTTTCAACCTTGCATCATTTTGTAGGTCTTTAAAATGACTGTCCAAGCTCTGTGTGTTATGCAGAACTACTTTCTTTCCACCAGAGAGTAAAGCTTGTGAAGTGTCACTAAAAGTAACTTTCGGCATTTCATTTAATGCTGACTTTACCTCTGGATCAGCATAGATATTTTTCTGTAATCGAGATGAATCGCCTGTATCGATAAATAAGCCGGTCTTTGATGTAACCCTTGACAATGCAACGTATGCTTGACCTGGGGCAAAAACTTTATCTAAATTCACTACAGCTTTCTTAGTGGTCATCCCTTGCACCTTATGAGCCGTGCATGCCCATGACAACCGAATTGGAAATTGGTGTCTTACCACTGTACTTGCCTTTTCCTTCATCTCTTCCTGTACTCTTTCTATGAACACTAGATTCCCATCCCTTGTCTTTTGCCCTGACTTCTTCCCAACTTCCTTATTATCAAAAATAACTCCTATAGCTCTTACAACTCTATCACTGTTTTCTACCAAAGAAAACTGACAAATATGCCCCATTACTCCATTAACGAGACCATCCTCCACATTGCAATTTCTTGTTAGCATTACCCTTGCATGGACTGACAATAAGAGCGAACTTGGAAGACCATCACTTTTTGTTTGTGTCATGGGCTTGTTTTTCGGTATCAGTTTTCCCGATGTCTTGTCCTTTTTGTAATCTTGGGCCTCAATTTCCAGTAAATCTTCACAGGATTTCTTCAGCATTGACAAATTGAATGTGTTAACTTCTTCATTAGTAGAAAAAACATGAAGAACGTCCTCTGGGCCTTCTCTGATACAGTCTTCTAACATAGCTTTTTGCGGCTGTGTCAACGGTTCATCTCTCTCTCTTACACGTAGAGAATTAAGAACCTCAGCAAAAGACAAATCTTCTTTTTGTCTCATTATCCCTTTTAATTCAATGACCTTAAATAACTCATGCCAGTAGTCCATGGGATAACTCATATTTTCTTTGTAAAGTCTCTCATCTTTCCGCTGCTTAACGGGAGGAAGCTGGTAAAAGTCCCCAACAGCAATAACACAAACCCCTCCAAATGGCTCTTTGCACTTCTTAATCTGCACCAGCCTCTCATGTATGTAGTAAAGTAGCCTTTTATATACCATTGATATCTCATCAATGATTAGGATCTGAAGATCTCCTATCTTTACTCTCAATTCACTGAGACTTTGTTCTCCAAGTGGTTCATAAGGGAGGGGAAGATACTTTGTTAATGAAAATAAGTGGTGAAGTGTATTTCCGCCAATGTTGAAAGCCGCTGTTCCTGTGAACGCTGCGAGAAGCACGGATACACTATCTGGTTCAGTCATTATTCGTGAAAGCAAACGTGATGCTTCATAATGAATGGCTTTTATGAGATGACTTTTACCAGTTCCTGCACCTCCAGTAATGAATAAATGTAGGGGTTCAGCTTTTTCCCCTGCAATCTTACCTAAACACCACTCGCGCACCAAGTAAAATATTTCACTCTGTGTTTCATTCAAATTTTGAAGAACAGATTGCATTTCCTCTCTTGAAACTGTATTTTGGTGAACATGATACATGACATCCGCATTATGTGTCTCATTTTCGATATCCGGTATGATATCTATATTTTCCTCCTGTAGCATTGTACTCTCCTTTCTCTGTGCTATACCCTCCCTTCTAAGAACCTCTGTCTCTGGGCATATTCGTGACCATGCATCCTCTGGTTCACCATTCATCTCATATGCCTCCTGAGCATTTTCAATAAGATCTTCATTTTTTGCATAACGTGAATGATTGAAATCCACAACTGATTTCACGGATTCATTTCTTTTTCTGCCAGAAATTTTCACATAACCAGTCTCATAAAAATCCACATATAATTCAAATCCTGGTGGTTTCAACTGCGCCTCTGTCCAATAGGGAAGGAAAAGTTGCAAGAGAGACTGATGATATTTCTCTGGCATTTTCTCAACATTGAACCTGGGATATCTCACAACAGCAGGCTGTGTTCTTGTTCTTCGTTGCACATAACCCTTTCCATTCTGTAATTCAAACACATTTTCATTTTTTTTCTTAGGAACTTGAGACTTCGCAAGCACTCTAAATTCTGAACAAAATTCGGCGAGGCACATTTCATGGAAAATTGGTTTATCCGGTCGGTTCATGTAACGTTCAATAATGTTTGTCATCCAAACTTCATCCTCCTCATCTTCTTCCTCAACACTTATCTCTTCATCCTTTGATGCTTTCTTCTTAAGCACTGATAGCGGTTTACTTAAGCGAACCGGGTTGTCGCCTACAGGCACAAACACAACTTTCCTAGAGCATTCTTTCATCTTTAAGTTACATACTCTGTACACAGCTTCTTGTGCACTTACTTCTCTGTGATGCAAGTAAGCTGAACCAATTTTCTTCATCGTCTGTCTGGCATCAGAATTTCCCTCTTCAGCCTCCAACTTTGTTTGTTTGAGTAACATACCCATTTCCCTTTCTGACTTTGATATATAGGATATTATATAAACAATACAGCTGAACGGGTCCAGAACAAACTGTATGTCCATATTAGCATCCCACGACTTCAACAGGCATCTGTTATATTGGTTCGTCCACACCTCATTCGGGCAGCGTTCAAGTACAACTGATCGTTTTGTCGATAACATGTTGTAGGCATCTTCGTACAGTTCCTGTGTTAGTGATAGATCATCAAATAATTCTTCTGCTGTTTTGAATCTTTCACCTTCGTTCTGTACCTTATCCCAAACACTTAGTAATATCTCTTTTGCATAACTTTTGTTTATATTTGTTTCTTTTCCACACTCCTCTGAGTTTTCTTGTTCTTGAGTGCTTGTAATAAAGGTCTTTTGAGAGGGTGGCCTCGGGAAATTAAACCTACACTCTGTACCCTTCTTTTTACAAGATTTTGAATGTTTCTTGCTGTGTTGCTGTACCTCTAATACACTTCTTCTTAATTCTGGGTCATCATTATCTGAAGGTACAGCACATGTCACATATCTGTCAATGAAGTCACACACAGCTTCTTCTCCATCGGATTCAATATTAGGTGCACTTTCAACCCAAAATAAACAATGCATATGGGGTGATCCCCTCTGCTGAAACTCAACTCTTTGAAAAAAGTCTAACACTTTTCCAATTGGTTTTGCTGGGGAAAGAATGACCTCCTTGTGAAATATTTGAAATCTGTGTTCAAACATTCTAGCCACCGTGACTGGATTGCATCTTAAAACTTCATTTTTCTCTGACCACTCCATCTCATCAGGTTCTCTGTTATCATTCTGCTGTTGCAATATAGCTTTAACAGCATCATTCCATCTGTACTCCGCTGCAGAAAACGAACAAAACCAAGTTGGGATTCCTAATTGTCGCAGCATGGCAAAAATGTCTTTTTGAGTACTTGACCAATAAGCTGGAGTTCCCCTTATTGGCTGCATAAATCTTAAGGCATCATCATTCCTCAACAAACTAGAGAGAGTTGTTGGGTCTTGCAGCATATTTATCGTAATAGGTTTTCCACTGGTACATTTTGATAGTGATTTCCTAAGTGAAATTTGGGTTTTTTCAATCACTTGATTTAATTCAGACATGTACTGGCTGAAAAAAATGTAATTGGTGTCCTTTGCAAACCTGTCATCTGCATTCATTAGCCTATTATTGAAATACCTGGAGAGTGATAATTTTTCTGATCTTTCCTCATTCCAGGAGAAACGACCACTTGGGAAATGACATGGAAATGCCTTAGCTTCATTGCCAGGTTCCTGTAATATTCGAACAGGATTTCTTCCTTCACTTGGTGCTATGTTGTACACATCATCAAAATAATGGTCTAAAACTTCCTGTGCAACATCAACAGGTTGTAAACATGTATCATATGCAACCATTTCTTCATCAATTTCCCCATTATCATTAGTATCTTCTGTCATTTCTTCATGATTTTCCAAATCTTCTGTCAAGGACGATTTGATTTTTAAATCCTTGTACCACTGATTCTTTTCTTTTAAGTATGATAAGGCTGACATGACATGGTTTGTATTAACAAATTGATATTCAAAGTAACCTTTGTAATTCAATTTCCTTTTTAATTTCACACGTAGCAACAAGTTCTCATCTTCATTCCTTGGTAAACTGATGGTCTTTTTCATATCTGCAGGCACACAAATCACAGGTCCATGAACATTTTTTTGCCCACCATGGGGAAGAGCCATAACCTTCATAAATGGTATGTGCATTGCAATTAAATGCTGCTCCAAACTGTTTAACCGAGTCAGTTCTGGTGGAATATCTTCCAGAATCAAACCGTTAACTGCAGCCTCAGCTGGTGCTTTGCCACTCATTATTTTCCTGTGACAAGTGTAACAAATCCATAATGATGATTTGGTACATGCTTCTGGACAAGATTCAGAACACTCATGCAAATACTTATCTAACAAACAGATGTCAGAAATAGTTCTTGCTGATTCACTTTTCTCATACATAAGATGTTCACAAGCTTGAACTTGATTTTTGAACAATAGCCTATGACAGCAAGTACAAGCATAATCTGGGCCTTCTTTAGCATTTTCCTTAAACAATCTGATAACTTCCTCTTCCTGCTCCAAGTTCTTCTGCTTCAGTCTTCTTTCTTGTCTTACTTTCTCTTTTTTCTTCTTTTTTACATCTGAAGATGAATAATAACTATCCTTACTACGTTTCTTCACTTCTAATTGAACTTTAGTATCAGTCCGATACCTCATCGCAACTCTTTCTTGCTTACTTGCTTTAAAAGATTCATTTGAACTATATCTTTGAACATGAGCAGCTTTATTTTTCATCCTGTAAGTTTTATCTTCTTTGTACTTTTTCAAGGCCCCCTGTTTTACTTTAGTCTTGTGTTCGAAATCCATTTTATACTTTTCAATGCTTCTTTTCTTAACTTGTTGCTGGTGTTTTATGTTTGTCTTGTACTTCTCTGTACTGGCCTTCTTAACATTTTCCTTATGTCTCAGATCTGTCTTGTACTTCTTCATACTGTACTTCTTAACATTTTCCTGATGTTTCAGATCTGCTCTGTACTTCTCAGTACTGGCTTTCTTCAAATTTTCTTGATGTGTCAGATCCGTCTTGTACTTCTCACTACTTGCTTTCTTCATATTTTCCTGATATTCACAGTCTGCCCAGTACTTTCCCCTGTTTTTTTCTTTCACCTGTTCTCTGTGCTGGATATCAAACTTGTATCTCCTTACATTTTTCCTCTTCTTTTCATCACTGTGATTGAAGTCAGTGTAATTTTGTTTACTTCTTCTTCTACTTGCCCTTTTAACTTCTTCTCTGTGTTCTGAATCTAAAGCACGATATCGGTCTCTGTTCCTCACTTGTACTTTTAACTTGAAGTCTGCATCTGAGTACATTTCTCTCCTTTGTTCAATAATTTTATTCCGAAAATCCATATTTTCCCTGTACTTTTTCCTCAATTTGTCTTTGCGAATTTCATTTGAATTTAATTGTCCTTTCAATTCAAGTGTATCTCGCTTTACTTTCATTCGAAGTCGATTTCCTCTGCGCAGGTTATACTCTCTCTTGCAAGACCTGGATTGTCTGACTGATTCCTTTTCTGATGGAATTGCTGAAACACATAAAACAACATCATAATGATTCTGTTGTCTGTGGTATAAATAAATGGCCTCCTTCTGATCAACGACTTCAGGATTCGGCACTTCCCCACTAAAACAAATCCATTTCCTGTCTGAATAAGTATAAATGTCAACATTCAACAGATGCGACATGGCATGAATCTCCAATTCAGTGGCCCATACACCATCTTCTGACATTTTACTGGAAAGCAAGTAAGACCTTAAAGATCCCTCAGACCTCATCAAGTGCTGAAATTTTGTTTCATGTTTCAACAAATGTTGACAAACAGCTTCTCGTACAAGTTGGTGATCGTTCTCCGAGTTTGTCAGACTGAATGATATTGCCCTGAAAAAACAATTTCCATCTGCTTTTATTTCCTTACACTTGGTAGGCATATCCATGCCTTTCACAGTCACTGCTACCTCTTCATATCTAGAAGCAAAATATGACAATCCTAACTCTTTGCTCAACTGCCCCTGTTTCTGTTTAGACAAAGGAATAAAATTGTGTTGTTTGATTTCCTCACCCATAAAAATAACCTCATGTGTCTCTGATATCTCTGACTGATCTGACAATAAGCTGTCCTGCTTTGATCCTTTTAATCCTCTTGAATATCTATGATTTTCTTCGTTTGATTGATCTGACATTATAATACCTTGTCTTGAATTTATGAATGCTTCTGAAAATTCTATATTACCCTCAACCTTCTCAAATTTTGCAATAGCAAAATGCTTCAGTGAACACAACACACCAGTTAATTCACATTCAACAGTTCTTAAAAATCCCATTGAGAGAGCCAGAGACTTAAGATGAAAGTACACGTGCTGAACATCCTTCAACAAAATTCTTGTACTCTTTCCTCTTACACTAAGGTATCCACGAGCGCATCGTGCATGTGAATCAAATATAAAAAATTCATCAGTAGTTCTCCCAATTAAAAGGGTATTTCCTCCGAAACACACAAAACATCCATCTGCTTCTGTAAGTGCCATCTGGAGAGCTTCATAAAGAGGATAAGCATTAAAATCTTCATAACATGGCTCCTCCTCTGACAAGCTAATTAAACTGGGTACCGAGACTTTCACAGTAAAGTCAAATGTATTGTTGTAGCATTCAAAATACTGTGGTAACTCTTCTACTAACAAATATCTACTTGTAATTGAAGAACAGTTCTGCAGGTGTGTGTAAAGTTCATCTCCATTCACTAAAACTTTGTTGACATCAGCTGTTTGCCATAATTTTGCACTTTTCAGAAGATTATAAGCTAAACCTGATAAACAATTTGCTACACATTGAGTTCCTGCAGTGTCACCAAACATAGGATCAGCTTGATGGAAAGAGCCCTGGACAGATACAGTGGACAGACTTCTTCCTTTCGGATCATTATTTCCCTCATCCAGCACACTACAACTTTCATTCTGATCACTTTGTTCATATACATCTTTTATATTCCAACATCCCATAATCAACTTCCTAAAAATGTTACTCTCGCTTGTTCCCTTGATTTCTCTGTTAGGCCAAAATAAAAAATACCTTTGTTTCCCCTAACGCGACCGACCCAACTAAAACGCGCCGACTGGAAAGATTTTTTAAATAATATGATTCAAAAAATTTTTTTTTTTGTCAACCAAGTTTTATAAACTACAATTTCATCAAAATCAGTTTTTAATTTTCTATCAGAACGGTCGACATTGTTCTACTGTAATTTTGAAGCATTTGATGGCAACAAAATAGCGTCCAGATGTGATTATAGAGAAGTAGTTCTTTATAAAACAACGGCGATGTCTCAGTCTTATGCCTTTAGCTAACTAGAATTCTTCACTCTTGAAATAATTCGATAATAAAATATACCAGGGACCTATATACCTATATATAGTATATTGGTCCCTTAATTTACCATGACTAATTAAGATCATTTGATAATAAAATATACCACGACTAATTAAGATCGGTTCGGGGGTGTCTTGGCGTCTCCATGTGAGTGAACAAATTTACAGAAAGGAGGGTAAACAACGAACAAACAAATCTGTCTGTTGAATTTCAGGTACGTAATACATGAAAAGGCCAGCCTCATGAGCAGATGAGGGGTTCACCTTATGAACACATCATTCAATTTCACTGCATTTTATTTAATTTGAGTTTTGATCAAATAATCATCTATGTTCCTTTGCTTTTAATCCCTTTGAGATTTGTTGGGACGACATTTGAACATTTCCCCATTACTCCAAAATTTAAACGTAGTACGCACTTTTTTGCCAATAAGCAGTGGGATCTTTTTGAGCCAGCATCTTCTGCGACACTGGACAAGTTTTTTATGGTCCCTTTTGAAGGACCGTTCTCAACGTTCCTCATTAGTATTTAAACCTGCGACTTGAAAATAGCTACTTACGTCTTAACTCCAAAGCAAAATGCTCTAGAACCACTGTAAATCTCATAGCCCTCAAAGAAGTACACTGACTGTCTATAAGCACTGGAGGATGATTGAAGGATGATTGAAGGTTTGTAAAAATATACTCGGATGTCCAGTCTTTGCGAATTTGAGAATCTTGTCTTTCGTCATTCGATTTATATTTATATTCGATTTATATAAACGTACTCTGGCGTGAGATATTTCACAAGTTCATCTAAATTACAGTTGTGAATTAATCATGAATTTTGCTTTAAACGGCATATGTATGACACTTAGCAATTTTGTTTACAGGTACTTTTCTTATTTATAAATGTAATTTTCTATTAAATTTTAGAATGCATTTTCAAAGCTGCTGTTAAAATTACCGACCCAACTTTCAAAGATATTTTTAATTCCAGCCTTATCTTCAGTTTTATCACTTGACTCTCTGATCTCGGTATCATCTATGAAATCAGTCATACTTTCTTCAGTCTCAAACATATCTCTTTCTTTGCTTATACATTCTACAATATCAGGTTTATCATTCAGATTTCCTTTGATATTACTTTCAATTTCCGTTTTCATATTCGTTAGAAGTGCCCTCATCTTTTGATATTCTACTGGTCTCCTCCGCCCTGGAGGTATCCAGCTGCGCCTGTCCTGCTGGACCAGACATATGCACTATGTCCGATCCAGGTGCCCTCGGTGGAGCACAAACCCACGGTGGGGAGTCAGTGGACGGTGCCTTGCCCTCGTTATGGACAAACAGACGACTTCCCCGAGGAGATGGCAACCTCGGGGCAGGTGAATGCATTTTCACTCGAGGTGAGGCCTGCACCCTGGCCAGGGGTTTTCCCTCTTTAGGTGGATACCCCATCGAACCAAGCCCCGGAAAATTACCGGGAGGAGCTGAAACAACTCCATCTACTGTTCCGCAAGGAACAGCAGACTCCAGTGGTACTGACACTTCATCTACCAGAATTCCCCCAGGCTTCTGCCTCTTTTCTCTTTTTCTCAGCTTGTCTTTCAGCCTTCTCTGTCTTGTACAGATTTTCTTTCTCTTTGCCATCTACAAAACATCCATTTCTAAAGAATTTTCCTATATATTAATTATTATTTATATGTAAAATTTTGGTTGGCCATTTTGGCCCCGCCCTACCCCCAGGGGATCATGATTTGAAAAAAACTTAAATCTACACTACCTGAACATGTTTCCATATAAATATGATGAATTATGGCTTTGTCATTTTTTAGAAGAAGATTTTTAAAGAATTTTCCTATAGATTTCTATGTACAACTTTGGTCGGCCAATTTGGCACCGCCCTACCCTTGGGGGTCATGATTTGAACAAACTTGAATCTAAACTACCTGAGCATGCTTCCATATAAATATGATGAATTATGGCTTTGTCATTCTTGAGAAGTAGATTTTTAAAGAATTTTCCTATATATTTCAATATAAAACTTTGGTCGGCCATTTTGGCCCCTTCCTACCCCCAGGGGGTCATGATTTGAACAAACTTGAATCTACACTACCTGAACATTTCCATATAAATATGATGAATTATGGCTTTGTCATTCTTGAGAAGATGATTTTTAAAGAATTTTCCTATATATTTCTATAGAAGAGTTTGGTCGACCATTTTGGCCCCGCCCTACCCCGGGGGGTCATGATTTGAACAAACTTGAATCTACACTACCTGAGCATGCTTCCATATAAATATGATCAATTATGGCTTTGTCATTCTTGAGAACAAGATTTTTATAGAATTTTCCAATATATTTCTATGTAAAACTTTGGTCGGCCATTTTGGCCCCTCCCTACCCCGGGGGGTCATGATTTGAACAAACTTGAATCTACACTACCCTGAACATGCTTCCATATAAATATGATGAATTATGGCTTTGTCATTCTTGAGAAGAAGATTTTTAAAGAATTTTCCTATATATTTCTATGTAAAACTTTGGTCGGCCATTTTGGCCCCGCCCTACCCCTGGGGGTAATGATTTGAATAAATTTGAATCTACACTACCTGAACATGCTTCCTTATAAATATAATGAATTATGGCTTTATCATTCTTGAGAAGAAGATTTTTAAAGAATTTTCCTATATATTTCTATGTAAAAGTTTGGTCAGCCATTTTGGCCCCGCCCTACCCCCGGGCGTAATGATTTGAACAAACTTGAATCTACACTACCTGAAGATATTTCCCCATAAATTTCATCTTTCCTGTCACAGTGGTTCTTGAAAAGAAGATTTTTAAAATGCCACCAAATTTTCATTAATTCCCAATTATCTCCCCTTGAATGAGGGCATGGCCCTTCATTTGGACAAACTTGAATCCCCTTCACCCAAGGATACTTTGTGGCAAGTTTGGTTGAAATTGGCCCAGAGGTTCTTGATAAGAAGTCGAAAATGTGAAAAGTTTACAGACAGACGGACAGACAGCTAGACGGACGCCAAACAAAATGTGATCAGATAAGCTCACTTGAGCTTTCAGCTAAGGTGAGCTTATAAAAACTGCTTGATCAGATATATGCTCTAACGGAAATGATTGAGACAGCTAGCTTCCCTATGTAGAACTCCTTATTTAATCTTTGACAGGATGCATTTCCACTAAGATTACTATCAAGAGATGAATGGATCTTAACTTTCTCCTTTGTATTGCAATCAAAATGCATAATTGCATGTTTCATTCCGAAATTAAATCTAAAACAAAGATTTTGTATAACTTTGTTACAAAGATTTATACTGAAAAAAATTGTGTAATCTTGATACATCATTTTGAATAAGGTTCCTGCATGATTGTTAGATTTGTAATTTTTTTCTAAATACTTGCAATTTATTCATTTGGATTTGATTTAAGGAATAACTGTCTTATTTTTCGAATTCATGAAGTGATCAATGGATTGGCTTGTGTGATAATTTGCATAACATCGAAGGCGTTCATGCATAAAATTATCACACAAGCCAATCCATTGATCATCTTCATGAATTCAAAAATCTGACAGTTACATGCTTTGATTCCGCCAATCCACGGGCTTCATGCCTGCTTCTCCCTATGTGTTGTCCCGCCCTGCACGTGATTTTTTTTGGAACCGCGCCAAAACATTCATGTGGAAATCAATTACATTTACAATTGGTAATTTTATCTCGGACAAAGACATTGGAAATATAAATATATCAGACTAAAAGTTTCAGTCTGAAATTCATATGGAGAATGGGCATGTTAATTCCAATAAACCCCCCCTTCCAACATACACACAGTATAGTTGGTTTAATTATAACATACAATATCAATTCAGTTTTTTTTTTTCAATTTCATAGTTTATTATACAATATCAATTTAGTGGCTAATTAGTTTGAAGTTGCTTTTTCTCAAATTCATTAAATAAGTAAGGCTAGTCACTAAAACTATTTAAGGCTGATTCCTTAGCCCAGTTCCAGAGGCAGATAGCTGCTTGATCAGAGAGAGATTCTACCAGTTAACTCCTTACACTAAACTAATTATTTTCTCTCTAATTTGACATGCAATTTTCTGTTATCAAAATTCTCCTTGACCAGTGCTTGATAATTATACCCTTGGGGGAGGTAGATTTTGTCTTATAAAATAATATGTTATGGATTGCTGTAAAGTATATAAAGAAATACTTTCTTTATTTAATATGTTTTAAATAGGGATAATGCACTACTCTTACAATTTTGGGATTGTGTAATTCAATTGTAAAAAATAGGGTTTTTTTAAACTTCACTTTAATTAAAGGTCATGGTGACCTTAATAGGTTATGACACACCTTCTAGCCAAAATGCATAAATTCGCAAAGTTTGATGATTGTAAGTCTAATAGTTTTCTTGTTATGAGCCAAACAAAACAACATAAGTAAAAACAAAAAAATGCCTGTAAAATGCACAGAAATCATCTAATCTTGGTGAAAATACCAGGTGCACACCTACACATGGTAAATAATAAGAGTTTCTGAGAAAAAGTCTGGACAAAATCTCGTCTACAGACGGACGGATAAACCGACAAGCCGATTCCAATATACCCCCCCCCCCCCTTTAAGCTTTGTTTG